GTCAAACATCTGGAATGCACAATGTTGCCTACCCCTGCTCTATTTGAATAGCTCATTAATACATAAAAGAACTGAAGGGAGTAAGTAAGGAGAGTGAGGGCCTGATGTTTTCCATCAAATATTAGCACCAGGACAATAGAGTGAGCAGGAAGAATGCAAATTATCTGATCATAGTATTCAAGTCCTGTTTTTTTTTAAAAAAATTATAATAATTTCTAAAATGCCACCTTAACCTTTAGTATAGATAAATCTTATATAAGTTTGTGTCTTTTTGTCCACTTCATTGCTTCTGTGTTTCTGCCTTTTTTTCTTTTTAAATAAAAGGCCATCCTAATCTTAAATTCTCCTTACTGCAGTGACAGCTCCTTTTATGTACATTTCCTGATGAACTATCAGGATCCCTCATTAGGCAGGATACATCCTTGTGGACTCTAGTGGCTAAACCCCAATTTCAAATGTTATGACAAGAGATTTCAAAATGAGCATGATGCTGTTCAGAGCTTCCGCAAGAGTAAAACCTTCACATTCCATACTCCATAAGATTGTAAATTCTTCTGTTCCTGCACTGAATAAAGGTAAATATTCTGTAGTTCGATATTATAATTACTGAACATTTTGATTACACTGATTTAATAATGATGCATTATCATCATTAATGACAATTTAAACCTGGCAAGAAAAGAACAAATGCCTCATTGCCTTCTGTTAAATGAAATGTCTTTGGCTGCTGATTCATTTGCTGCTTTTGTTGGGGTGTTTCTCTATCGAGATGGGAAGATGCTAAATAGAAGAGTGAACAAACATCTATCCATTTATACATCCTCTCCAATACACACCCACCTCTTTAAATTAAGGATCCACAATTCCTACTTAATACCGCAATAATATCCACTACACATATGGACCTTGAAACTGAAATCAATAACATTCATGCAAACTCCCCCTTCTGTATTCATTCACAAGTGTTGGGTGTCATATGACTTGCGGCAAAGACTAATCAGCTATCACTAGCTGGACACAGGCTTGCCTTTTTATTTGCATAAACAGAAGATGGGTTACAGCTGTCAAAAACTTAAAAAGGAAATCAATGAAACGTTAATTACTCTTAGTGAATTTATACTTCACTAATGTTAGGACTATTTAAGAAAGAAGAACAGTTACTATATACTCTGGTTGAACGAATATAAGGGAAAGGAAGAAATGGATTTGGTGTAATTCTTTATGATAATAGTAAGGGTTTTTTTTAATCGTAGGAAGCAGTAGTGTAGCGCTACATGTTGTGACAGACTATGGACAAGAAGCAACACAACACAAAAAAGGGGGATGTATTTTATTTTATTTGGCTCTTGGTGTTGGTTGAGCTTGCTTTTTTTCTTGCATACATTTCATTAGCAGATGATAAGAAGAAAATCAAGAACCCCACAATTCAACCCTGACCTCCATGGATCACAATGGATTTTATTTTAGCAGGTTTTCTTTGTGCAATATAATGTACTCAGAATTTACACCATACATTTTAAACTGCTTAGTTTCTGTGAATGTAATATGAAGGTACAGAGGAAAGGGCAAACCTTCTAACATTTCAAAAAATGGCCTTTATCTACTACTGTATATGCCTAACCTCGGCACCAACTTTTAGAAAATGTGATTTTTACTTACTTGAGGCATCTTTATAACTTTTTTTTCCATAAAGAAACACCCTTCAAAGAGAGGGAGAAGCAAACCAGAAGTTTAATGACTCCTTCTGTGCACACCCCCACCTATTTTGTCGAAAAGAAAACAAGCTGCTTGGGAAAATGCAGCCAAATGGATGATAATGGTGATAAGCATTTTTAAATCAAATGTAGTGCATTTTGTTACAATAGTGTCTCAAAGTTTTGGTGCAAAATAGTAAGTCAGACTAGGTTGGTTCCACAGGGTGCAAGTTTCTGAAACCTTGTCAATCCAGGTAGCTAACAGAGTAAACAAAGATTTCTTTACAAGTTTGTACTTTGATGTGTAATACATGTATACATAAGTTGTTAGTAATTTGCAGCTTGTAGTATGGTTGATGTAGGTATTAATGTGTTGATTTGCAAGACTGTTTCTAGATTAAAGCTCCTGCAAAGAGTAGCATGTCCATCATTGGAATACCATTGGATTTTGCTTATGCTCATGGATACTGATCATATGAAAGAAAGAATAAGTTGTCAACGGTGGCATATTATTCTCCAAGGGTGATAAAGGAAGAACTAAGGATGGGTTTGGTAAGGCCACACTTGGAATACTGCATCCAGTTTTGGTCACCACGATGTAAAAAAGATGTTGAGACTCTAGAAAGAGTACATAGAAGAGCAACAAAGATGATTAGGGGACTGGAGGCTAAAACATTTAAGGAACGGTTGCTGGAATTGGGTATGTCTAGTTTAATGAAGAGAAGGACAAGAGGGGACATGATAGCAGTGTTCCAATATCTCAGGGGCTGCCACAAAGAGGAAGGAGTCAAGCTATTCTCCAAAGCACCTGAAGGCAGGACAAGAAGCAACGGATGGAAACTAATCAAGGAGAGAAGCAACCTAGAACTAAGGAGAAACTTCCTGACAGTTAGAACAATTAACCAGTGGAACAACCTGACTCCAGAAGCGGTGAATGCTCCAACACTGAAAGTTTTTAAGAAGAAACCAGACAGCCGTTTGTCCGAAATGGTATAGGGTTACCTGCCTGAGCAGAGGGTTGGACTTGATGACCTCCAAGGTCCCTTCCAACTTTATTATTATTATTATTATTATTATTATTATTATTATTATTATTATTATTATTATTATTATTATTATTATTATTATTATTGTTGTTGTTGTTGTTGTTGTTGTTGTTGTTGTTGTTATTATTATTATTATTATTATTATTATTATTATTATTATTATTATAAAATTGGGTAACATAATGAATAAATGTGAATCAGGAGAAAAAATATTCCATTAGATATTATATGAATGAATGAATGAGTGGAATGAGAAAAGAGGGTACACAGAAAAATGATTGGGCCATTCGGAAATCTAAGTATAAATGAGATTGGTGACTTCTTTCTAAGTATCCAAGGTGTGTTTCTAATTCAGTATGTGACTGAAGAATGTCTTTTTATGTATATGTAAGGAATGAACATACAGTAAATATAAAAGCATGATTGATTTGTCTATTTAGTGAAGGATTGTCAGCTCTTCAGGTAGGAAACCAAAATCAGGACTGCTAATACTATGTTTATTATAAGGTTACAGGAACAGAATCTTGTAAATCTGAAAAACCCACCTGCCTTGCTATTACTTTCCAGAGTACTAGGGAAGGTCCCTTCTGACACCCTTTTTCCATTTATGAGTTGACATAGCTCATGTCAGACCATTGTCCTGGCTGCAGTTCTTCCTCCAGTCTCCAAAGGTTATTCTAACAACCCATTACAAGAATATAAAGATGTTAAAGGAATTATAAATGTGGGATTGATCATATTTTGATAGAGTTGGGAATGGAATTTTGGAAAATATGGAATGGAAGAAAGCCAACATAAAATAAATTAGTGGGGAATTAGAATGAGTGCAGACTGTGAACTCTGAAAGGAAAGATAAATTTCACCCCAAAATGAAGGGAAATGGAAAAATAGAGATGAGGGTGTGGAATTTACTTTGAATAGAATGAAGACAGTTGCATTGCCAAGAGTCACAGAAAAGTATGGAGTTATACCTATGAAAATATGAAAATGTTTCTTTGGTGGAGTAATGAATAATAAGAGGCTATGGATGAGGGAAAAAAAGTATATTGGAGAATGACTGCTGCTGCTGCAAAAAATGAATGCTTAAAATGAAAATGCAGAGAAATTTTTATAGAAAACAAAAAAGGGGGATGAAACTAAAAAAAAGAATGTTGAAAGGAATATTTTAGAGATCTGTATGGGAATGCATTTATATGTCAAAGAATGGAATTAAAATGAATGCGATCAATGTTAGCATTCATAAAAGAATTAATGAAAAGAAAGTTTTCCTCCTTCTCTTTTCATTATAGATTGTTTAAATTTTGTTTTTCTTTCTTCTCTAGCATATATATTAAATAATAGTTTACACTTTTTGTAAAATATATATTATTGTATAGTATTTATATAATTTACATGTATATTTATTATTAATTGATGTATTTTTAACCTTTAACATTTTTCAGAAAAGTCAATTGCAATCCTTTTAAAACTCAATAAAGAAAACTGTATAGAAGCTGCCTACTCAGACAATTGTTAAAAAGAAAATACAAGAAAAACAATAAAAGGAAAGAAAATCAATAATATGACAGTTGAAAAATGTTGCTTCATGTGCATATAACTGGAGAAACATTAAAATATAGACATAACTTGCTCCTGCAGTAGCTGTGAAATGTCTGTAATGTATTTGCAAAGACAACATCTTTGGCTGATGTTTGTTCTCTTCTACAAGTGAAAGGAAGCAAGAGTGAATGCAAGAACCAGGGGCTAATTAGTCTGTGGATGTTAGATTATACTGTATGGTGCAGCATGGAGTCTGGATGATTGATGTATTTTAGACTTAGCTGTGTGACAACAAATGTGGAGAGCAAGATTATACATAAATAAAGGAAAAATTATGAGAAATAGGTGAAATATAAAAAGCAAGAGTAAATGAGTTGAGAAAGTAGTTGGATAAAATTGAAATAAACTTCAAAATGAGAGAGATGAGAAGTGGTTAATGGACATGGTGGATCATTTGAAAAATAGAACATTTTGGAAACGTGAAGATGAAGTTATAAATTAGAATTACCTATAGTTTCCCCATTTTTTTTGTATTCCTTTAATTTCCTTGTTTACTATTTCATACTTTTCTAACCTTTGGATAATGCCGCTTATCCTGAAAAGAAATGGCAGGATGGGATATGTATGTAGAGATGATGTGTAGATATGTACTGTATATATATTTCCAAATCCAAGGAAGTTTGTTGTTTTATAAAAAGTAAAGATCTGTATTCCTTTCTAGGGTATCAGCAGTCTCTTCAGTTCCTTAAAAGTGGTGCGACTCCTGAGATTGGGTCGTGTGGCCAGGAAGTTGGACCATTATCTGGAATATGGCGCTGCAGTGTTGGTGCTCCTGGTTTGTGTCTTTGGATTAGTGGCCCACTGGCTTGCGTGCATCTGGTATAGCATTGGGGACTATGAAGTTATCGACGAGATCACGAATACCCTCAAGAATGACAGCTGGCTCTGCCAACTGGCAGAGAGTATTGGAACACCATATCGGTACAATGCTACTGGATCAGGGCAGTGGGAAGGCGGACCCAGTAAAGATTCACTTTATATAACTTCTCTCTACTTTACCATGACAAGCCTTACGACAATAGGATTTGGAAATATAGCTCCAACCACTGATGGAGAGAAGATTTTCTCTGTGGCCATGATGATGGTTGGATGTAAGTAAATGTTTTTTTGCATTTGTTTCACATTATATTTACATCTGCTGGCATAGGGGTTGATGTTTTCATATTGTCACAACAAAGTCACAAAAAAGAATATATAATTATTTTGTGATAAAATAAAAGGGTATCATGCATAGGGTTACTGGATGTCAGGCAAAAGGAGGACATTTCTTCCTTTTTGTCCTCATGTCCTCCATCTGGCAGGCATAAACTTAAAATCAAATATTATCTAGTTTTTTGGTGTCTTGGATTTTTTTCTGGAGGAGGGAGGGCTGTTTTTATAACAGTAGTTGTTCAAAACTTTGTGTATTATGATCTTGTATATTGTCTGCTTCTTCCTTTTTTTGTCCCATCAACTGACACAATAGCTTGGATTTACATTATTTAATTTATTTCCTGATTGACTTTAAGCCCCTTCAGATCCATGACTGTTGTAATCTGTAGATCACATAACTTGTCATATTGTTTCTACGGTGAAATTTGAAAAGTGTGTTGTTGATTCTATATTATCACTAGCATATATTCTTGAAAATAAAGATTTATTTATTTTACTTACAATATGCAGTATTGCAATTGAAAAACCAGTATTTCTGATACTGGAAAACATAATTTCATATACAGTACATGTAGGCCTAAGTACATTTTTGCAATTTTTCATTATAAAATAGTGTGTCCTCCTTGCCCAAAATTGTCCTCCTTCTTTCCAATTGTCTGTTTCCTCCTTTGCCTGTTCAGATATCTGGTAATCCATATCATGCAGCAGTTTTAGTGAGAATAGGAAAGCTTCTATGATAACTTGTGATTCCTTTTCTATCTTTTATGATTTCCTTCATAGAGTAGCAGTGACAACTCTATTTCTTTATAAAAGTATATTCATGTATGTTGTATGTTATGTTGTAAACTTGACAATAAAGCGTAATATTTGCCTTCATTTTCAAAGATCACAGGACATAGTACATTAGTTTGGAGTATATTTACATTTTTGGTTGCTGGTGGACAAACGCATTTGGAAAGATAAATAACATGGTTATTTCAGAGAACTGATTCCTGGCTGAGTTCAAGTCCATTTGCAGTGCTCACTTTGGAACTGGTACCTATTTAGAGGTAGTCCTTGAGTTACAACCACAATTGGAGGCCCAAAATTTCTGTTGCTAAGTTAAATATTTGTTAAGTGAATTTTGTCCATTTTATGACATTTCTTGCCACTTGTCACTGCTGTTGTTAAGTTAGTGACATGGTTGTTAAGTGAATCTGGCTTTTCTATTGATGTTGCTTGTCAGAAGGTCTCAAAAGGTGATCACATGACCCTGGGACACTGCAACCGTCATAAATATGAGCCAGTTGCCAAGCGTCTGGATTTTGATCACGTGACCCTGAGGATGGTGCAATGGTCATAATTGTGAAAAATGGTCATAAGTCATTTTTTTCAGTGCTGTTGCAACTTTGAACAGTCACTAAATGAGCTGTTGTAAGCCAAGGACTACCTGTAATGAGAAAACTGTTACTGAGAAGCAAGACTGGGGTCTGATTTAGTAAGAATTGTGTGACCCTCTTTGTGAAATCTGGAGGAAGGATAAGTTTGGTGACATGCCTCAAAGAAGGATATTAAAAATAGTGTGGCATTAAGGTTTTATGCAATTTTAAGCACACTCTGTGCATGCATTCATTTAGTGGCTTGCATTAGTTTATTTATTTATTTTTAAAATGTTGACTGTAGTGAGGTTGAAAATGCCATACGCAGGGTGTGCTCATGGAAGTCAAACTGAATTCATCAGAAAATATTGAAATAACTGCATGGTGTTAAGGATATTTCAGTTTGTTCTCAAAAAATGTGAAGACTGCAGTTTGAGCTGGGCTAAAGTATCTGTTTTAATCATCTGATAATGTTTTTCTTGGTCACTGTGGGAGCTAGAGGCAACCAAGATGATTCCTGGATATGATACGTTGCATGAAATATTACTGTGGTTCTCTCAGATTTTTTTGATGACCAGCAGTACTAAATAATTTTTCTTCAAAAGGACAGCTAGAACAAATTATATTTTTGTCTTCAAATGCACAAAGTCACAAAAATGAATATATTATTATATTTGTATAATGATATATTCCTTTTGAGTAATTGGGAATCTCCACAAGGTAATTTGTATATCTAGAAAATGCTTGGAGGGGTTACGTAAAAATGCTTGTTGTGCACTCAGAGGCAAAATATTTGGGTTTAAACCTCTTGGTAACAGAAGCTGGTTTATATTTGACCAGGACAGATTGTGATCCATCAACCCAATTCCAGAGCAATCTAGCCTAGCTGAAGGGACGGAAGCCCATGGAGAGCCATTTCTGAATGGAATCCTGATGGTTCACTTGAGTATGATCTAGAGATAAAGGATCTGGAAGAACTGAAGTAATGAAGGGACATAGGATATGTCCCATTGATATGTTCTGCAATTCTCTGCATCTCTAACTCATGGCTCACTGCAGTTAGAACACAGCAAGGGGATCAAGCTATAGTTTGTCCAGCTGGGAAACCCTGGCAGTAGATTTTCTTTTAACATAATTACAGAATTGGAAGGGATTTTGGAGGCCTTCTGGTCCAACCCCCTGCTCAGGCAGGAAACTCTATATCATTTCAGATAAATGGCTGTCCATTTTCTGGTGGCACCGAGAATTCCAAAGTGTCTTAGTTCTCTTCTGCTTCTCAGGAAGCAAATTTTGTCCATTCAGCCAGACAGTTTGTCATGTGTGCTATTACCAACCTCCTGTTTCAGCTCTCTTACTCTCTGAAGCAGTTGAGATATTTGCCCTGGATTAAATTAAACATAAGGCATAGAATCATAGAGTCCTTCAACAAAAATATTCTCTGCATACAAGTACCATGATGTTGTGAGTTTCTCCCCCACATATATCAGCCTCCCCCACATATATCCCCACATATCCCCACATATCCCCACATATCAGCCTCCCCCACATATATCCCCTCTGATATCAGCCCATTTAAGCTCAGCTCTTTTGAAGTTCACTACTTATTGGCAGGTTCACTGCTGGAAAAACGCTTTTTGTCTTCTATTTCATCCTCTTACCTTTCTTCTGGTGATGTTGCTATATAAAATATAGAACTATTGTCCTGCTTGCAGCTCTTCCTTTGCATTTTGCTTTTCTCTGTTGAAATCTCAGCTGTGTGGGGAATTAACTTCCATGCTGCACAGTGTGCTTGTATTTGGGCCGCTGAGGCTCTTCTGAAAACACAGTGATGAATAAGCCACTAAAGACATCTGTTGCCGTATAATAAATTGTGCCAAATGCTGATGTAAACATGCCATGCTCGAAGCTTGTAAACAAAACCGCACTGAGAAAAACCTGGTCCCACAATAATTGATCAAGCAGCATTTGTAAAATGGAGTAAAGCTGCCTATTCTCTTTCTCTCGTCTTTTCTGCCCTAGCCTTTGGGAGGAATTAAAAGAAGAGAGTCTGGCTAGGTCAGAGGAAAGGAGGAAAGCCCTGCTTTGCTTTGCTTTGCTTTGCTTTGCGATGGGGAAGGTTGTTATCTGAAAAAGTTACATGTGAAATGGAAAGAGGTTTGGCCATATTGATGGGATTATAGAAATTATAGACTAACTCATTTAGACCAGTGGTTCTCAACCTGTGGGTCGGGACCCCATTTGGGGTCGATCGACCATTTCATGGGGGTCGCCAAGCAAGGCTGTCCGGCATTTTTTTGTCCGCCATTTTTTTTGTCCGCCATTTCCCCCCCCTTTTCTGGCAGGTGCCTTACCTCCCTTGGGCTGGGCCAGCTGGTGGTCAGCCTGCTCCGTCTCTGCCGCTTGCCAGCTACGCCTTGGCCGGTGCAGGGGGCGGAACCACGCATGCGCGGTGCTCTCGGGCAGGGAAAGTCCTCGACTTACGACCGGTTGGGTAGTCCTCGACTTACGGCCAGTTTAGTCCTCGACTTACGACCGGTTTAGTCCTCGACTTACGACCGGTTTAGTCCTCGACTTACGACCGGTTGGGGTCGCGGCATTAAAAAGGTTGAGAACCACTGATTTAGACAGTAACAGATGAAGGCTGTTTCTTTATGCCTCTGTAAATTACCAATTTATGCAATCTTATTAATGTACACCATATGCTATGGAATTTCATAAAATAAAATCACCCCAGACTTTTCCCTCAAGTTTTTAGGTAAGAATGAGGGCGTGGATCCTGTGGTTCTCTTCTATGAACAGAAGGCCTTTTCATTTACAGGAGGGTCCATATTCCAGCCAAAATTTCTGTTGGAGGAAAGAGGGGGAAATCTCCTGTGTTACCTCTTACATAATTCCAGACAGTCCCCATTCCCTTTAAATAATATTCAAGGAACTTGCAGAGGGAGGAAGAAACTTCCCGCTCTGCACCAAAAGCATCTTAGGAATGGATTTGTATTAACAGGAATGCTGAACAAAACCCATTGCTAAAACACGATGGTTTCCAAGCTTTGGAAAATATTCTAAGTAGGAATGTGCCAGTGTTTTAAATGTTATTGTTTTAAAAAATGATAATTTGTTAATATAAATGAATGTGAGCATTAATATTATGTCCAGTCCCCTTGATATCTGCTACCTGGAAGATGCAATTTGCAATTTCAGAATAAATAGAAGAGAGAAGAAACAACACAAAAATCATTGGCCACGCTATCATCCATCATGGTCATGAGTTAATTGAAGCCTGCAGTGGTGGGATTCAAATATGTGAACAACCAGTTCTCTGTGTGGAAGTCCATTCTGGGCCTGGGTAACAAAAAATTAGCTACCGGTTCTGCCGAACTGGTGCCAACTGGTTGAATCCCACCACTGGAAGCTTGGAACTCCAGAAGCAATTCCATCAACAGACACATTGACCTACAACCAGCCTATGAACTCCTCAGAATCCAAATCAGCCACACAGCCAACCAGAGACAGCACCAACCCTCAATCAACCCAAGCGATGTTACCTAGCCTGGTAATGAAACGTTTGGAAAACAACCCACAAA